ATTTTGCTTTCATACTTTCCAGGTACTTGCATTGTAGCACAACCTGTCTTTCACACTTACTAGTACTTGCTGTACTGTAGCACAGCCTGTCTTTCACACTTACTAGTACTTGCTGTACTGTAGCACAACCTGTCTTTCATACTTACCAGTACTTGCTGCAGTGTAACAGATCTTGTCTTTCATACTTACTAGTACTTGCTGCAGTGTAACAGATTTTGTCTTTCATACTTTCCAGTACTTGCATTGTAGCACAACCTGTCTTTCACACTTACTAGTACTTGCTGTACTGTAGCACAACCTGTCTTTCATACTTTCCAGTACTTGCTACAGTGTAACAGATCTTGTCTTTCACACTTACCAGTACTTTCTGCATTGTAGCATTAGACAATAAGTTAAGGTTGTGTTTTCAAATAGAGAAGTAGCATGTTTTTTATCTTCCTAAATTTGCTAAGAACAATTTTAAGCAGTCTTCAGAGAAAGAACAAATACTTCAGTTTCATTATTGCCTTCAGAATAGTGAACTTGACTAGATCTTAATAATTTGTGTGTGTTTTAGAATGCCTTGGCAAGTGAAGAGAGACAAGATTCTGATATTGAGGAGGATGATGCCAGGAGTGAATACTTGAAAGTGTTAGAAAGGTATAAGAATATATTGTTGGGAAGAGTTTAATTATATAGCATTATTTTTGGTCTAACATAATGCTGAAATGCATATGGTTTTAACATTGGGTTCACTAACACTTAATTGGCTGTGACTGCAAATATGTTAGAGATTTATGCAGTAATGTTATACCTTTGTTTAAAAAAATTAACCATACATCTGATGAATAAGGTTCCAGAATGAGTTTGATCCTTAATTATCTCCGTTTCAGGGTTATGTATTTCCTACTTTTGAGTTTGATGCTTTGATCATTAACATCTGTGGAGAAGTGGATTAATTTTCTTTCTTACATTTAAGTTACTAACTTCAGTTGATGTTTAGTAATAATAAAAGCATTGTGCAGTCAGGCACCTATCAACAATATTTTTAAATACTGATAACCTAAGGTGAAAGTTATCTTATGTTTTCATATGTGAATAACCGATAAATTGTAACTAAAAAATACCAGAGAAAATAAAATTATGAGGTATTCAATAAATCGTTTTTAAATTGAAGAATGAATTTTATTATAGAAAATAATATTCAAAACAAACAGTCTCTCGTTTGAGTCACCACTTGGTCACTAAGGTAGACCAGTTTGGGGGAATTACACCTCTATTCATTAATTCTTGACACAGGCAGGTTGAAAAACAAAGACTATGATTTTTATAGTGGTGACATCTAGTGAGGAGTGCATTAGCTAATTACTTGTTGCAATGTTTTACACACAGTATTGCCAAAAGTATTAGTTGATGCACTCCTTACTTGAGTACTCACAATGTTTTTGTTTTCAGCGATAAATTGGGCTCTATTTCAACTTATGTAGTTTGTTAATCTCAAGCCTCCACTCTACATCCTGCCCTGCTATCTTATGCCACCAGTAACAGTACTTTTGGATGCAATAGGCTTTGCTGTTAGGGGATGAACTTGATAACATTTTAAACATTTTCTAAACTATTTATGCACCAATTCGTTTGTGGATCCAAGACGTTGGGCCTCCCTTGAACTCAGACTTCGAAATTAAAGAATTTTCAGAATACTAAGTTTATTTATTAGTATCTGTAATAACATATGAATTGCATCAAAAAAGTTTAACCAAAAACACCTGCATTTAATACCATTAATCACTGCTAAGTTAAATATTTACATTTATAGAATAGAGGTGAGTTTTGTTTCATTATCCGTGTGAACTGTACTTCTTTTGCTGCTGTGTATATGTTCGACAGATGTTTTGTTTGTAGCATTAAACCTTTATTTTATCCTGATTTAAAATTATGGTAAACACTTATCAAAACTGTTACTGAGAGATCTTTTAAAATATTATTGGGCTCTTGTTTCATTTATAGTTAATGATATAAATTTTTGAGGAAAGCACGAGTCATAAAAACATAACAGTTGTGGTAAATTTTATATCATCTTGTAAGAGCATTGTTAGTAGAAATTACTGAGTGTAGTGAACCAAAATTGGTTATGGGTTGTTGTTAAACAAATTATACAAAAGGCTGCATAGCCTGGTGGTTAGGGCACTCCACTCGCAATTTTTGGGTTGCGGGTTCGAATTCCTGTCACACCGAACATGCTCGCTCTTTCAGGGGTAGGGGTATTATGATGTGACGGTCAAACCCATTATTCGTTGGTAAAAGAGTAGCCCAAGAGTTGGCAGTGAGTGGTGATGACTAGCTGCCTTCCCTCTAGTCTCTCATTGTTAAATTAGGGATGGCTAGTGCAGATGGCCCTCGTGCAGCTTTGCATGAAATTAAAACCAAACCACTACTGGTTAATAAGAATTTCAGAAGTATCTCTTTAATACACCCTCTCACTACTTAACTAGCAAGAAAACAAACATGCTGCCTTTTTAAAAATATTTTAGTAAAAACATTCTTGCTGCATGAATATTAAAGAAAAATTTGTTTTATTTAGTTTTGTTCTTCATCACATTTGGAACGTAATAAAAATGTTCAGATCATAATTTAACTTTTTAACACTGGGTTTCAAGCACCTATGTTTTTGCTATAAAAATGTGTTCATCATTAATATTTATTTTTTGTTGGTCATTGACCCTTTAAAACTTTGCTTTCAGACAAAAGAGAGAAAGAGATGAGTTGAGACAAAGACATCAACTTGAGTTAGCTATCTTTAAGCGTCTTAGAAGTAGACCTCCAAGTACAGATGACACACCAGTATCTAACTTGAATGTAAATCAGCAGACTAGTGTTGAGATGAGCCATGAGGTAGGATCTTGTGCTGAGAGTTTTCAGAAGAAGCCACACATTAAGAACACCCAAGGACATTTACCATCTAGACCCAATACCCATGAGCATTCATCACATCGACCCACAAATCTTTCTTTGAGCTCTTCTCCGGGGTCTTTTCATTCTGCTAGTAGCTCTCCTGTAGAATCTTGCCAGTCGTTTCTCCATCTTTCCGAGAATCAAAGTGCTCCGGTACCCATAGTGAATAAGAATACAACCATATGTTTGGATTATGATAGTGTATCTTCCTGTACATGTAGAGACCATTTGTTTAATTCCATGCAGTACTCGTACCATGCGAACCAACCGGAGGAGAACCTAAGCTACCCATCAACTAAGTCCCCACCTGGAAATTTAGCAAAATCACTCTTAAATCTCATGGAATGTGCTGGACCTAGCAAGACCACAGAACCAAAGATGACCTTGAATCAGATGAAACAAAAACAGTTACAATGTGGATACAGCGAAAGCACCCTTCCATGTGGATCACTAATAAAGACGCCCCTTTCGTCACCTCAACTAAGTCGTCACGTCTTTCAGAAAAGCACTTCCACATCAGTACTTCCCAATGCAGGTTCATCTCCTAGAAGTACTACAGTGAACTGCAGCCAGTGTTTGGACAGCTTGTCACATATTAATAAACCAGACACCCAACTCTGGTCCACAGTTTCTTCTTCATCTTTGGCTGCAACAAATAGTTCATTTATCTCACCTAGTAGAGCTTTCAATGCAATGAGTATGCCTCATTGTTAAAAGTATTGTAACACTCGTGATATTTGGATTTAAAAGTAAATTCAACAATTGGTGCCTTTTTTTCCATAAAAAAAATTATAACTTGAGAGGTGTTTTAAATGTGAGAAAAACCAATACTTTGGTGCTGTTCATAGCTTGATTTGTGAAATAAGTTTTCAACGTGACAAAGTTGTGTTTTGATATGATTATAGTTTAGTGTGCTGGTTTGAAAAAAACAAAGAAACAAGATAATAGAAATATTATTTTTCTGTAATAATTACAGCTTTCTGGTCCAACAAGGAGGTTAAGTAGTAGTAGCAGGCACAATTGATTTGTGTCCGAGCACGTATTTTAGATAAGCAAAGTATCAGTACTTGTGTTGTGATTTTTATTATTTTTTTTACAGTAAAAATGATGCGTGTGTATTCTAGGCCTATCCCGTTATTTATTGTGTAATGTCGGCAGTTAAACTGGGATGAAAGTCAACAACACCGGACGACAGTGAAATTATTTAAAACAAACTGTTGGCTGTTACAGAAACTCCATTTCTCTTATAAAGTTTAAAACCTATGTTTGCCTTTTTTATCCTTTAAACTTTGTTTGGTAGTAGCATTTTTATTGTACTTTTTGTTCTTACAAGTTTGCAAAAACAACTTTTACTGCCTTTTGTGAGAAGTAATTCTTATTAAGTTGCTTTACTTACTTACTTATTTTTCCATTAAATGTGAATATAAATTTGTTTTTTTGTTACCTCGGCTTGATTTTATTTCTTTATAAATGGGTGATACTAAGCCCAAAAAAAAAAGCGAACATTAGTTACAGTTGGAGAAAGTTTAAAAATATCCATGCAGAAAGTTAATTGTTGCATTTACTGTACTAGGAGATTTGAAGTGTGTGTCTTTTATATTTAATAGATCAGAAAATAGATGTTGCTATTTAACATTCAGTAAGATGAGAAAAATACTAGGTTATATGAAAGCATAGAAATTGATTCATGTATGATAAAGAATACAGTGCAAATACTGGAGAGAATATTGGAACAGATAAATATATGTATTTGATGTACAGTTCATCAGAGTCGTGTGATATGATCAGATCTAAGTTTTGAAAACAGTTTATTATTCTTTTTTTTTACCATTTTCTCTCAAAATTCCCACTGAAGTAGTTTTTTGATTTGTGCTAATAAAATTATTTGTTAATGATATTTGGAAACAACTTAATTATGTTTGATTTTTTTTTTTTATGCAGATGTCAGTAACCATTTTTGTAAAATAAAATAAATGATTAACACCTTTCTGTGTTGTCACTGTAATGATGAAACTAGTTTTACTTGCAAGTATTGCTTGAAGCTGAGCCAAAACAACATAAGATATTTGGGTTGAATAGAGGAACACAGATATTAAACCTAGATAAAAGAATGCCTTTTTGAAATACCAATTTTTTTTAGTTGAAATGTGTCTAGAAAAATGAATTATTTTTTTCCAGTCACGTATGATTACTTGTTCCAAGGTGCTTTCACATCATTAGTTTATGACGTCATCTTAAATGATTTATGACGTCATCTCCAGCTATGAAGTATTGAAATATTGCCTAATCCGGAAAGAGGGCTGATTCACGGTAGCATTTGTTTCGTAAAACCCGTAGTTTTGTATGATAACTGTGCGGATTTCAGCTAAGTTAGATACATGTGAATATTAGCAACGGAGTTTTGGTGAAAAAGTACAGTTAGGTATTTTAAAGTTACGTAAGTCAATAATTGCTCAAAGTTGTTTTTTAAAGTGCATGTTGAGATCACAAGAACCTGCGAATTAGTGTTTGTATGTGTGTACACGTAGGAAAGATGCTTAATTAACGAACACTGCTGGTTCTCTTTATTTTGTGTAGTATAAACTCATTATTTAGTAAAGGAAATAAAGATTAAATTATTGCTATTTCACTAAATGTCGGGTTTGTTCAATGAATGATATTTGGCTTATCCGTATTTTAGTTCCGTGTGTTTATTAATTATAAAATAGTTTGTTAATGATATAATTACACCCGACTAAATAACAGTGTTTACTGTTCTTATATCCTGAATATTAACATTCTAAGTTTGCAATAAAAAGAAATAAAACGTAAAAGGAGGACTTTGACTTCATACCTAATATAAATCGTTTAATTACTACAAGTTCCTTTTCACCAGACAGCGGATTTTCTCGAATAACTTATCATACAAGTTTCAACTTCCATTGTCAATGTTATGTATAACCCACCTTTGAGGATAGGTAAAAACTTGTACCAGCACTTACAGCACCAAAACCGTTTTGAGTGGGTTTACTTGACAGCTGTATGCAAATCACGAACCCTTGGATTCACGGCACCGGCATGCTATCAACTCTCCATGCTTAGGTTTTTCCTTTTTTTTTTCTTCTAATTTTAGAACTTTAAAGATTTGGAAGTATTAAGAATCAAGAATTAAAACCTAACACTAATAAAAGGTATAATTATCTATTAAGTTAATTACATTAAAAAAAACGTAGTTATACCATCATAAACACAATTATTTGACCCCGAGGGTTAAGGGACAGAGTGAAAGAGATATTCGGTAAAGAGGTAAATTAACTCACTTGTTTACGTTTTTTACTTTAGTTTAGTTAGGGCTAAACTTTATCTTACAATACTGTCAGTAAACAAACTTATAATCTTACTTTGCGGCCAGGTGGTTAGGGCGCTCGACTCACAGTCTGAGGGCCGCGGGCGCGAATACCCGTCACACCAAACAGGCTCGCCCTTTCAGCCGTGGGAGCGTTATAATGTGACGGTCAATCCCACTATTCGTTGGTAAAAGAGTAGCCCAAGAGTTGTATGGTGGGTGGTGATAACTAGCTGCCTTCCCTCTAGTCTTACACTACTAAATTAGGGACGGCTAGCGCAGATAGCCCTCGTGTAGCTTTGCGCGAAATTCAAAACAAACAATCTAATCATATTTTAACGACCTAACATTAGACCTTTTGATAAACTTTTACTATGTTGTACAAAATGTCTGCTAAAGTGTATTTACTTCTACCTTTTGTTTATATCCGTAGAAGTGCGCGCGCTTCCTCATTTAGATAGTAAAATATGCGCGCATTTTGAGGACAAAAAATCAAGTGTTACCATAAAAGATTTTCGTTAGGGAGCACAGGATTTTATAATCTGAAATATTCGTGTAGGGAGTATGATATCAATGAGTAACAAGTGAGCAGTTAGTGAGTTACAGAATACTAGCCGTCCTTACCCGGGTATTACCTAAATAGAGGGCCGATATAGAAAAAGGATCAAAATTTCACTTTTCATGTAACAAATAATGTCAACTGCATAAAGATACTGAAACGAAAGACACACTGTTTTCAAGCATTCTATGAATATGAAATTAGTACGAACAAACATTTAAATATGATCATTTCCACCAATAATGTGAATTCTAACACTTCTATGCGTGTTTTTTTAAACCTGTTGTTACAAATCTTATTGTTTTATACTATTCGTGGAAATGATAATATGAATTTTGTGTGTGGTTTCTATTAAAAATATGACAGTTTTGTAACAACAGGTGTTTTAAGAAACTTTGTACAGAATAAAACTTAAACTCTTGTTCGGCCCTCGATTTAATTGGTATAATCAATCACTCTCACAGCTAGCCAAACAACTCAACTTACTTTTCAATTTAAAATCAAAGATAATATTTAGAAACTTACACAAACACATTATCTGTGTTGTTTCGATGTAAAATTAAACCTTTAATTTTACAATGTATTATTTTGTTCTCTACCTAATACCTATAATTGTATTTTTCTTATGTTTAACATATAGAAGTAATGGATTTATGTTCTATACTAGCTGGAGTACCCGTCCCCTGGGTGGAAGTTATGTAAATTCATGATTAATGAAAGGTTATCTTGGGATATGAAAAGTTACTTCCCTAAACGTAATTGTAAAAAGGCCCATAAAAACTGCAAAACACAAAATATGAAATCGCAAGTTTACGTGTATCTCCGTATGGACCCAACAAATCTTCATGCCAAATTTGGTGAAGATCCATTAACAGGGGGCGAAGTAGTGGTAAAAACGCCCATAAAAACAGCAATACGCAAAACTGGAAATTAGTATTGTTACGACAGCGGAAGTCACGCGACTCTGGGAGCATGGGTGCTGTAGTTTCTAGAAGGAACATGACTTATCGAGGAACCTCGCGAATGCCCAGTGTTTACTAAACGCCCTCTTTTTTAGTATATAAGCCGGCAGATAAAGCCAGCTATAGATAGATATGCAGATACATTGAAGATAGAGATAATTGAGTCAAACGAACAGTAGACACTGTAAGTAAAGTGTGTGAATCACTGTGATTGATAGCGTGTTTTATAAAGATTGTTAAATTTAAAGTGACTGTGGAAATT